ACAAAACAACAAAAAAACAATCAAGATAAACCCATGAACCTTACCATATATCTAATCAAAGTTTCATTAGAAATATGTTAGTAAATGTTCTCAGAAATGCGTAATTTAAAATGAAATGCCTGTATTCCTATTAAACTCATTCTATCGGTCTTCATCTATATCTTCCTGTATTTATTCTACTGTTTGATTTAATACATGATATAATTTGTAATCATTGACATATTCATCAAAATCATTATTAAAGTCAATATCTCTAAAACTAAATTTGTTCTCTTCATATTCTCTATATGGGAGTTTTGCCACTAATTGAACTTTAATTTCCATTCTTGCCTTATAATCCCACTCATCTTCTGCTTCATTATATATCAGAGATAGTAATTCTTCTTTTTCTTCTGTTATTATGTCTTCAAAACTCTTCACACTAAATGGCACACCCTCTCTCATAGTACAATACTCAATTATGTATACCTTGTTTCTTTGTGAGTCTTGTCATTCTTTCTTTTTTAGGACCAAGTCTTGAAATCTTATATTTGTTCTATATTCTCTTTAGTGCTTCACTATGTTTGATTTTCACATATTCCGGTTCTCCATGAGTAAAAGACACAATATTACTCAACACACCAGCGGGCAAACCCTTCACACAATCCATCCTACTAATATACTTAAATAACTATTCTTTAAGTATATTTTCTGTGATTTAAATATAGCATTCTTTTAAAAACTACTTAGAGATAAAATGACTAAATGATATATATATATATACCATTATATGATGAAAAAAGTTATAGACTATCTATTGAGTAATGATTTAGCAGAAATACCAAAAAGAGGAAGAAAAGAATTGAAGTCCATAATCATAGACAACAAAAAGTTCAGATACAACAAAGAAAAACCCATATCAAATGTTTTAACAAAGAAATTATTATCAGTAAAGAAAACTAATCAATACAGAAGTAATGCTATGAAAAAGGCAACGGATGTTGTAAGTAGAGAAAAGGTTAGGCAATTAATAACCAAACACGCAATAAGAAATAAATTTGGGGTCAGAGATATTCAATCAGCATTCAGAAGGTAGGCTAATTCAATAGTTTTAGAAAATAAACACTTTCAAGGAGAAAGAGGATTAGAAATGATTGCACACCAAAAGCCAAGACTATCAGATTTTTTAAGAAATAATAGAAGCATGAAACTTAACATAAGAACGGAAGGATTATTTGAAAAACCTGAATATGATGATGGAGGAAATGAATTAGGAAGTCAAGAACTTGTATATGCTTTACCATCAAACCGCTTCAATATTAGTAATGAGGATGAACTGACACAAGCATTAGAAGATAGTGCTATTCAAATCCGATTACAAATACAAAATTTGAAAGGTTCAACGTCTTATTTAAGATTTAAAAAGATTTTTATCAATAACTATTCACTATGACAGATATGACCCAACAAGGGCAGGGAAATTTATAGAACTACCAGAATGGATTAAACTAAAAGAGGCGTGTATCAACATAAAGAACAAAGACCAAAAATGCTTCAAATATTGTATTCAATCCGTAGTCTATGACAAAATAAGCAAACATCACCCAGAGGAAATGTTCCACTAGAATAAATTGAAAAATGACATTTTGAAGTGGGATGGTGTCAATTTTCCGACTGGCAATAGGGACATAGACAGATTTGAAGAAAACAATAAGTCAATTTCAATCAATGTTTTTGAACCTGATGACTGCCTGAATGACAACAAGATTATCTTACATAGAGGAACTAAAAATCGAAATGCTAAATATGAGATTGAATTACTAAAAATATGTGATGAAGATGATAACTATCACTATGTTTTAGTAAAAAACAAAAGTAGATTACTTAACTGTCAAAGCAACGCGAATACAAAACAAAAACACTACTGCCACCATTGTTTAAATCCATTTCAATCAGAAAAGGCATATAAGAACCATCTTGAAAAAAGATATATGGCACCAGAAGGACAACAAACAAAGATGCCTGATAAAGACACATACATAGAATTTGAAAAGCATAACAGCATAATACTAAACTGCCTTGTCCTTTTGTAATCTATAGTGATTTTGAATGTCTAACCACTAACTCTAATACTGGCATAAAAGGCTCATATCAAGAACATAAACCATGCGGTTATATGTTGAATGTAGTAAGCAGGTGAGGATTGTATGAAAAAGTTTGTTGAAAAACTGACTAAAATTAAGAAAGATATGTTTGAAAAAATGAATGTTAATAAACCAATGGATGAATTACCTTACGAACAAAGACAGAATTTAGACAAGCAACTCACTGCTCTATATGTAATAAGAAGTTTCAACCAGAAGAAGAAAAGGTAAGAGACACGAATAGTTCGCGTGCTCTCAATTCCGTCAGGGTCGGAATTGTTCGCGACCACTGCCACTTCACAGGCAAATACAGAGGCGCAGCGCATGTCAAATGTAATCTGGATTATTCATTTAGATATTTTAAAATCCCTATTTTCTTTCATAATCTTAAAAACTATGACGCTCACTTAATCATTGCCAGAGCAAATGAACTAAACATAGATTAAACCAAAACAAAAGAATAGATGTAATAGCACAAAATAGCGAAAAGTTCATAACCTTTTCATTTGGTGCTTGCCAGTTTAAAGACAGTTTTGCTTTCTTAACGGCATCACTATATAAATTAGTTGGACTAAACAAATATGAGGGAAATGAAAAGATTAAAGATTGGGAAACTCGTTTCAGACTATACAAGCACCAACCCTTACATTAAATCTAAAACTGACTTGAATTTACTGACTGATAAGGGTGTTTATCCCTATGACTATATGAACTCATGGGATAAATTTGATCAAACAAAATTACCAAAGAAAGAAGATTTTTACAGTCAATTATACGAAGAAAACATCAACCTTCATCATACATAAGTTATTTAGATGCTAATAACCTTTACGGATTAGCAATGTGTAAGAAACTGCCTTATGATGATTTTAAATGGTATTACGGCAGAATGGATGAAAAGAGAGTAATGAAATATAGTGATGATGATGACATAGGATACATATTAGAAGTTGATTTAGATTATCCAAAGGAGCATCATGATTTACATAAAGACTATCCATTAGCACCTGAAATCATGTGTATCAATGAGAGTATGCCTTCACAAGTCCAAAAGGATATAGACAAATACTAGTACGGAAAAGATGCCAGTGATGAAAAGACAAATAAATTAGTTTTAAATGTGATGGATAAAAAGAAGTATGTCTTACATATATCAGCATTGAAGTTTATTTACAGCATGGATTAAGTCTTAGAAATATCCATAGGGCAATAAGCTTTAAACAAGCAAACTTCTTAAAACCATTCATTGAATTCAACACCGAAAAGAGAAAGAATGCCAAAAATGATTTTGAAAAAGATTTGTTTAAGTTAATGAATAGCAGTGTATATGGCAAGACCATGGAGAATGTAAGAAAGCATGGTGATTATGAGATAGTTAATACACCTGAACGCTTCCAAAAACTGGTGAATAAACCACTATTCAAACACAGGCATATTATAAATGAAGACCTTGTAACTGATGAAAGAGATAAACACACAGTTGAACTAAACAAACCTATTTACATGGATATGTCTATTTTAGACTCTTCTAAAATTCACATGTATTCATTGTACTATGATGTGTTAAAACCAAAATATGATAATAAAATGAAGTTGGTATATACCGATACGGATAGTTATGTAATCAAAGTTGAGACTGATGATTTACATGAAGACTTTAAGGAGATCAATGAATACATGGATTTCAGTGATTATCCACAAGAGCATCCAAACTATGATAAAACAAATAAGAAGGTATTAGGAAAAATCAAGGATGAAATGAACGGTAAAATAATTACTCACTTTATAGGATTGAAACCAAATGCATATTGTTATAAAGTGTACGGTGATGAGAAAGAACACAAGAAAAGTAAAGGAGTAGTCAAGCATAAAGTGAGCAATCAGTTAAGTTACAAAACTTATGAAGAGTCATTGAATAGAAACTGTAAAGAAGAAGTCAGTTTTAACACTATTAGAAGTAAGAACCATCAAATCTATAGCATTAATCAGACTAAATATGCTTTAAGCAACTACGACAATAAACGCTACTGGTATTCAGATTTTGAGAGTCTCCCATTTGGACATTGCGCCAAAAAATATCTACATAACGAAAAGATGATTTAAGATATAGGTATATACATTCAACAACTGAAAAACTAAGTCAAAAAATGGCAAGACACAGAAGATATTATAAATCTTATCTATATAAACAATACAAATCCCCAAAAACACCATCCTAACTCTATGAAATCGTTTGATGAGTTCGGTGTTGAAAACTGTAAAATAGTTCTTATTGAAGAATACCTATTCCATGCGAAAGGGTTGCACGGGACAAGTTGAAATCGCAATTTTACCTCACTTTTTGGCGATCCAACTTCATGTCGTGCGAAAGGGTTGCACGGGACAAGTTGAAATCGCAATTTTACCTCACTTTTTGGCGATCCAACTTCATGTCGTGCGAAAGGGTTGCGCCGGACGACTTGGAAATCGCAATTTTATTTCAGTTTTTGGCGATCGAACCTCATGTCGTGCGAAAGGGTTGTGCCGGACGACTTGGAAATCGCAATTTTATTTCAGGTTTTGGCGATCGAACCTCATTTCGTGCGAAAGGGTTGTGCCGGACGACTTGGAAATCGCAATTTTATTTCAGGTTTTGGCGATCGAACCTCATTTCGTGCGAAAGGGTTGCGTTTCGTGCCGTCTCGTTGGCACTGCCCCGCGCCTTCAAGAGAGAAATAGAAAAGAAGGAGAGGGCAAGAGGGCAAGAGGAGAAGATGTGAAGATGTGAGGATGTGAAGAATGAGAGGGCAAGAGGGCAAGAGGAGAAGATGTGAAGATGTGAGGATGTGCAGAAAGAGCAGATGTGAAGATGAGAAGATGTGAAGATGAGCAGCTGTGAAGATGTGAGGATGTGAAGATGAGAGGATGTGAAGATGTGAGGATGTGAAGATGAGAGGATGTAAGATGAGAGGATGTGAAGATGTGAAGATGAGAAGATGTGAAGATGTGAGGATGTGAAGATGAGCAGCGGTGAAGATGTGAGGATGTGAAGATGAGAGGATGTGAAGATGTGAGGATGTGAAGATGAGAGGATGTGAAGATGAGAGGATGTGAAGATGTGAAGATGAGAAGATGTGAAGATGTGAGGATGTGAAGATGGGAAGATGTGAAGAGGAGAAGATGTTTTACAGACCCCCACTATTGGAAGAACCCTGCGGTCAGACGCTCTCGGGAAAAAAGAAAAAGGAGGAAGGATATAAATGGAGAATGAAAACCATTACCTGTTCCATTTGTAATTCTTCAATGAGGCAGTCATGTTATTGAAGACATTTAAAAACGGAGAAGCATAAAGAAATTTAGAGAAGGTCAGTGGATAGGGTTTTGTAAAATGAATAAGGTAATTATGTATTGACTGTTCTGATTTTTCCAAGTAATAGATTGTTAGTAGTTATGATTTTGAAAATGAATGAGGTAATTATGCATTGACTGTTATGATTTTGAAAATGAATGAGGTAATTATGCTTTGACTGTTATGATTTTCATTGTAGTTTTCATATTGTTGAAAAATGAAGCAAGCAACAAGATTGAAAATCTGTGCTTAGACTGTTATAATTGAAATTCAAAAACTTCACAAAACATACCTTTTTAGCATTTTTCCCCAAGTCATCACTAAATCGTTCAACGGTGGTCTGGTCATCCTACAGACGGCGTCATCGTGCAATCACAGCGCCAGGTGCCCTTGGTGTTTGCGGAGAAAGAGGGTGACATGGCCTTGGGCATGATCCTACACTGTGGAGAGGACAAGATACTCAGCCCATCTCAGCCCTGCTTTTTGGAGAAACAATATACAATGACCCCCAAAGGTTTGAAATCCCAGGGTCTGAAAGGATGTTGGAAGCATCAAGAGTACACTTGGAAAAATGATAGCAAGAAAATGGTCATTGTATGTCGTGGCTAGAAGCTTTAAGTTCCACCACATGCAACACTTTTAGTTTCCTGCCAAACATGCAGATGTGTTGAAAATTGAAACCATCATCAGCAGCAATGGATCCTTTTTTTCATGGGCCACCATTTTTTCCACCTGCCCAGGGCACGCTGGATCCCCACTTCTTTGGGAATTGGACCATGTGTAGTATGTTTCCCCATGAAATAGAGTTTTGAGGTACAAGCATGTACAAAAATTAATGAACAAACTGTTCTCTGAGTTCCTTGCACGTATTTTATCGTATTTTGGCCTAGAAATGGTTCGAAGTAAACCGCAGCCCAGGAAGTGGAGTTGTGAACTGACTTGGGTAGCTCGGCTGCTCCGGCAACTCCAACTGGTTGGTCGTTATTTGTTTAAGAAAATCTCCACCTTATCCTAGATGATCCAAGATTGACCAATATTTTTAAAGATAGGGTTCAAACCCCCTGTCTGCATATGATTTATTTCAATATTTGTATGCATATATATATATGTATGTACATATATTTGCTACTATATTTACAACGTGTATACATAACATGTCTATAATCTATACAACATATATATATGTATGTATATATATATATATGGTACCCCCCAAAAAAAAGTCCACCGTTTTAAGGTTCATTTACTTGGCCTGGGGGCGCCATACATACATACATATGCTATATGCAAATACACCTTAAAGAAAAGAGTTGAAATTGACAGGCGCACACCATTGCGTTACTTGAACTGTGAAGTTCAGACCTGATGTTCAGACTTGAGATTCAGACTTGATGTTCAGACTTGAAGTTCAGACTTGATGTTCAGACTTGAGTTCAGACTTGGGAATCTTCAACCCAGGATTGAAGATTGAAGATTCTCCAGGGCTCTTCTTGGAGAATCTTCCATCCAGGATTGAAGATTGAAGATTGAAGATTCTCGAGGGCTCTTGCTGTGGAATCTTCAATCCAGGATTGAAGATTGAAGATTCTCCAGGACCCTTCTTGGAGAATCTTCAATCCAGGAGAGAACCTTTCATATTGAATCCTCAGTCTTGGACTGAAGATTCTCCAAGAAGAGTCCTGGAGAATCTTCAATCTTCAATCTTCAATCCTGGATTGAAGATTCCCCAGCAAGAATCCTGGAGAATCTTCAACCTTCAATCCTGGATTGAAGATTCCCCAACAAGAGCCCCGGAGAATCTTCAATCTTCAATCCTGGATTGAAGATTTCCCAACAAGAGTCCTGGAGAATCTTCAATCTTCAATCCTGGATTGAAGATTCTCCAAGAAGAGTCCTGGAGGAGATGCCTGAAGATGAGGAAATGCCACAGGCTGAGGTCACTGAGCAGAGCCCGGCAGCTGAGCGAAAGTAGCCTCAGCCCCAAAAGCCTGAGATTGAATTCTCAGTGTGCTTTTTAATCTGCACTCAGAGGCAATCCATGCAGCTTGAAGGAACAAAAAAGTGTGCAGCTCTGAAGGGATGTGGGGTATCTGGAATTCCTCAATACGCAGAAGTGGAGCTTCCTCAGTGGCATGAAAACAGGCACTCAGGTGCTTGGCATTGTGTCTTGGTCAAAGATAAGGTCAGTTTTGTGTTTTTTGGTGTAATTAACTTATTAAATTATTTAAGGTAAGGTCTGGGTGCTTAGTAATCAACAAAATAGCTACTTAATTAAACATGTTGTTTCACCTGAGAATGTTTCAGCAACTGAGGACTTAGCACTGGAATGGGGCTTGCTGCTGGAAACAGCCATCCTGAGCACGCAGTATAATTAATCAATAACAATTGTTTTGTGTTGGTATTTTTTCCATTTGCCATTTTGCTTTTCCTCAGCTTTTTAAAGTTTAACTTCAGCAATATCTTTTCCCATGCTGGGATGCCAAACAATCTCAGGCCATCTACAACACTCAAGCATCTGAGGATGAGCTTTCTGAGGAGATGCTGCTGGTTGAGAACACACTGCGCCCTGAGCTGGCCTCAGCGTTTGCCTCCCAGACCAGATTTGACCCTGAGCACTTGGTCGCTCACAGCTCACCCTGGAGCATGGCTAAGCAACACTACTTAGCTGCTTTGTCCAGGAGAAATGGCCTCAGAGTCAAGATTGCTCAGCTTGAATTAGCTTGTTTTAACTTCAGCTTTGGAGCAAGCAACCACTTCAACATAGTTTTTAGATTGCTTCCTTTGATGGTTTGTCAATTATTTCCTTCTCAGGCTGAGAGACTCAATGCAGCAGACTCCTTGGACCTCAGTGGCATTGGTGTTCCTGACCCTCTTCCAGATTGGAACACTGAGTCTGAGGTTTCTCATTGAAAACTGTATTTTCGCTTTTTGATGACTGAAGATTGCAGCCCACCCATGACTTCAGAAGCTTCCATGTCTGGATTGATGACTGAAGATTGCAGCCTGCCCCTGACTTCAGAAGCTTCCATTTCTGGATTGAAGATTGTGCATTACAACCACTCTAGTCCAGCTGGAATACTGCTACCCTCCCAAAAGCACAAAAACGGGTAGACTTTCCAGGGGGGGTAGCATATATATATATATATGCATATGCTACACAACATATAACATATATAACATGTACAACATAAATAACATATACGACACAACATGTTTAACATATATAGCATATGAGACATGATACAACTGATACAACCACCGCTGAACCCCGGGCTGAAAGCTATCCCCCAGCTGAGGAAGGTTTGGCTGCCTATGCTGATGCCTCCTCTGGGGAGGTCTGGATGGGTCATGATGGAGGCCCCAGTTTGTCGGCGCCTGACCCGAGCCTGGGCAATCGAAGCAGAAATGTTATGGGCAACTGAGGCTGGTGGTTTTTAACTATGTATTTACATTACTGATTTTTTATATATTTATTTATTTATATATATTTACATACATACATACATACACAGACATACATACATACATATACATACACATAGACATACACATACACATATACATATACATATACATATACATATATACACATATATATATACATATACATATATATATGTATATACATGCACATATATATATATACATATACATATACATATACATATACATATACATATCATTTATATATATATATACATATATTTACATAAATATACATATGCATATACATATATATATATATACATATACATATATATATACATATACATATACATATATATATATATATACATATACATATACATATATATATATATACATATACATTTACATATACATATACATATACATACCATATACATATACATATACATTTACATATACATATACATATACACATACATATACATATACATATACATATACATATACATATACATATACACATATATACATACATATATATATATATGCACATTTATATACATATATATATATACATATGTATATATACATACCTATATATACATTTATATATATACATATATACACATATTTTTATATATATATATACATATTTATTTGTACATATATATGTATACATAAATATTTTTAAGATTCGATATGTATATATATATACGTATTGTGTTTGTATTATATAATATCGATTTTTTTCTCAAGAATCAATTGTTGACAAGGAGGTTCAAACATGTTGAAACCACCAACCAGTCACTGTTTTGGGACTGGTTGGAATTCACTTCACCATGTTGTCCCAGTGCAGCCCAGGAAGCATCTGCTGGAGGGTGACCTTCATCGACGTGGTGCTCGCGGACATTGGGTGTCTCCCAGCACCTTGCCCGATCTTTTAGGAATGAAGGCCTGGCGGAAAAGCTCCGAAGAATGCACCGCCATGCGCCGCTCGTAATTAACAGGGCAGCTTTAAAGAATAAAGTAGTGGAAAACTAGTTACCATGTTCCACCATGTGTTTGACCACTATACACAGAGTAGAGTAGATGATGGTATGTCTTAAGGAAAATGCAGATTTGTCATTGCCCCGCGACCTTAGTTGGTCAGATGGCAGGATCCTGCAGTTGCCTGATCATGAAAGGATAAGTCATGGCTGATACATTGCATGTTCATATCACTGGTGGAAAACCCCTGGTTCTTAAGGCCCAAAAAGTCTTACGGAGCCCTTAGCAACTTATGGCAAGGGCTCTACCTCCCTTCCCAGTGATTCCCCACCGGGCAGAGGTTTGATATTGTGGAGGACAGCTGCTTCGCTTCCTGAGAACTGCCAGGTCGGAAAGCTGTGGGGTCACATCTTTTTGGAGTCTGGATTCTTGCAGATACCCCTGCTGCATATACCCCATAGATCCCCATAGTGATTGTCCTCCTTATGAACGAATCCTGGCATTCCAAGAAATTCCAAAGCATCAAACTAGTGGTTGTACATCCAAAATATTCCAAATATCTACCTGCCGGAAGGTGATGACTCACGGAAGGAACGGTTCTTGTATTGCCACCAATCATGACGTCTCACTACCCTTACTCCTAGTGCAAAATTGGAAGAGATAGGTTGGATCGCAGAACACTTCCAAATCTGCCCCTGAGCAGTGTCATGATGTCTTCAGGATGTCTTGCAGCTTTGATGTTGAATGGGTGCTGTCTGGTCGCACTGTCAAATCCAGGTCTCCAGTGAGACAAGCTTGCTTGCAACTTGATTCATTACATCAAGTTTACTTGTTTACTTGGAGGTTTCAAATATTCATTGCTATCCATTGGTACCGTTGGTAGTTCATACCTACATAGCTTTCCTATTTGATCAAAGCCCCAAACCAGCCAAGCTATATATTTGGATGATCTACAGGCCCACGCTTGATTTTGCGGCCATTGGCCTATGCAGGTCTCATTGCACACCAGTGCCACTGCTGGACTCAGTGAAGCGCATTTGGAGGGAACGAAGTACATCCTGGAACCTGTGCCTGGGCGTCTCAAGCCATCCAGGGGGCCCCCGTTCGCCTGTTTTCCTGTTGGGTGGAGTACAAACATGGTAACATCATGGTTAGGATAGTGACTGTCCAACTGTTCAGCCACTAACTGAGCATGTACATATCATTACATATCCAGTACTTGGAGATTCTACCAGCACGAAGTGGGACTAAGCAAACAGTTGGCGTGTAGTTTTAATGACGCTAAAGCTTGAAACCCCTAAATAGGGAAGATGATCTCCCATTCGGCAGCGACCAGGGGAAAAGTATGTTGAGATGGGTTGGTTGACCTCCATTTGTTGAAAAGATCCTTAAGATATCCCACGGTGTGGTTATCCTGCAATTTTGGTTGGCAATGGATTCAATGGAGCAATGGATTCATGTTTGATCCATGTTTGATGCTATCATTGGCTGACTCTCACAAGGTGATGATCGATGAAGATGAGGCCAAGGTTTTTGAGGACACGGGATGTCAGGGACCAAGATATGAAATTTGGATGAGGTAAACGCTTGGAACAAGCCCTAGCAAGTCGACTTTAGGTGGAAGATGGTGGAAGATGGTGGAAGAATATTCCCAATGTATTGTATTGAATTGAGATGAATTGAGCCCCTGAAGCAACAGCATTGAAATGGTACACCACCTGAATAAACAGAAAGCCGTAGCATGTCGTGCCCCTAGCCCTAACAGCCCTAGCAGGAGAATCCATATTTGGAAGGTTGCGGCTGTTTGCGCCTTCCACTAGAAGTGGCTCGGCCCAGTTGCCAATTTGGTCATTGCCCTCGCTGTGTTGCTGCCAGCTGAGGCAGTGGATGCTGCCAAAGACCTTTGCAAAAAGCAGCTGGCTCTTTCGGTCACCCTGGATGACAAGATCTTGGATTGCACTGGAGTACCTTGGATGAAGCTCATGCGTCCCATGGAATCCCAGGGAACAATGGGCGCTATGGCAGAGCGTCAACGTGATGGTTCAATACGTTTCAAGGTGTAGAAAAGGTGGCGGGAACATTGAAGGAACCTGAGGAGGACATTTTGGAATTCCAGGATACCCCCATCTAGATGATTTTCCTATGTTTTCCCATGTTCCTTTCCGGTTAGTGCAATCACTTGCGTGGCCGCATGCAATCCTAGCCAACCCTGTACAGCTAAGCAGTATATTATTAATTTATTCTTTTGGACCGTTCGCTGAACTACAAAATCCCAGTTGGGGAAGGATCAAACCAGTTTTTTTCCGTCAAAAGTTTTGGAATTCGAACATATCATTGAACATATCCTTTCGTAGATTTGTTCCATGATTTTTACATAGTTTTACCATCATAGATGATTTCGTTTTTCCATGATTTCCCAGCCATGTCTGACTGCCTGCGGGGAGAAAGCCCTGACCCAGGTACAGATCGGCCAGCTGCTGGACCATTGCTTCAGTCCCTTGGCGCCGGTGCTTGGCGTTTTCAACCCACAATCCATGGGTTGGAACATGTTTGAACATGTTTAATACAATAATATGGAAAAATAGAGACTTAACATGACTTACATAACTTAACCATCAAGCGGGGATTCAAGATGGTCCAAGCAATGTGGTTTCTTTGTCTAGTGTTCTATATATATAGTGGTTTGCACGGTCGTGGTCCTTGCAACAATGACTGTGTCGCTTATTGAAGAGCAGTTTGGGCATTTCAAATTGGTTTCAGCAGGTTGTTCCTCCCTGTGCTCGCGTGTAAGCTAATCCAGAGGCCAAAGCAAAGATTCTTTCAGCTGTTGATTCTACACCTAGATCTGTGACCTGTGCTTCAATGATGATTACAGGTGTGTTCTCATGTTGGCAGACGCATTTTACATATCAACATGTACATGCAAGACATACGGATGAACATGAACATATATCATACATACTAACACACCACAATTCACAAGTATATCAAATATATAGTATAATATACATACATATGTATTTTTTTACGTGCATATATATATATATACATGTATATGTACATCTACATATTGTATATGTATACATACATATTATATTCGTATATTTACATACGATTCGAACTATCCCTCTTTCTCCGTTTTGTGCCAGGTTACGACGGACCCCTTGGATGCACCATGGATCGTAACGGGGTCACGCTGAGCCTGTGGGCACCCACGGCCCTGTCGGTGGCACGCCAGCATGAGATTCGTAGAGAGATATGAAGAGGAACAGTACTTCCATAAAGTTCAGGATACCCCTTCAGTATGCATTTTGATGGGAAAAAAGGGGTTCAACATCATGTGCGACCTGAATTGAGTTGCGTGCTGATTTTCAGTTACGAACAATTGGGCGACATGTTGAAGCGAAAACAATCGAGAACACGAGAACATTCACGTTAAATCGACAAGACACCGAGATGTAAATGTTATGAAGCAGCAAGCTGCGTCGTTTTGGGTGTGGAGGTTGAGACCCCATTCCGATTCCCCAAGATTCTGCCACTGTCTCCCACTCGTTTCTGTTGAACATCCAGCTCACCAAATACTTAGGATCCCGGCATTGTTTCAGTTAGAAGCAGGGTTCCGTTCACAAACAATTGCCACGAGATGGCATGTGGATCCTTTCTTCAGCGTAAACCGTCCAAGAGTCCAATCATTCCACTCGAACCTAACACTGAAGGTTGAAAAGGTTGGGTGAAGAATGGTAAAAACATGTAAAAAACCATCTGCATTCTTTCATGACTGCAGGTGGAAGTGCTGCTCTATGACGCTGCCAGCAAGGGACAAGCCAAAGTCCAAGCAATGACTGAAGATGGCAGTGGAGTATGGCGAGCGCAGGGACCTACCAGGCGATTGCTGTTGATGGTGGGGGGGGCTTTGGATAGGGTTTCGCATTGAACGGCTTCCCATTGATATTGAATACTTCTGGATACTTCTGGAACCTTCAAAATCCCTATGGATGAATGGCATCCCCGTGACAGCGGCTGCAGGTGGAATGGCCACTCAGTTGCATCATTCTCCAGCCAGGGGAGCAGAAAACAACCCATCTTATGATATCATATGAGGGTTGCTGGTGAGAAGTGCTGTGTACGATGAACCTCAAACTCATCATCCACTAGTCACAACCCATGTCCTCATGAGCTGCCCCAGATAGCCACCGGGGACCATCTGAGGCAAGTACTACAACTACCGCGTCACCGCATATCACCCCCTGACCGGCCGCATTGAGTGCATGGAATCCCCCGATCCGTGCCTCGACAGTTTGAGAAACGACCAGGAGCAGGATCATTGGTTCTCATGACTTTGACATGCAACGATTCATGGATGTCAACATGAATGGAAAATAATGGAAATGTTGGAAGTCTTGGAAGCAACTGTGATTCCAAAGAAAGACCATCACACTCTGTCGGTTCTCGATGGCACGAGGGAGAATTGGCTTCTGACAATTTGGTTCAACTAGTTTTCAAGCAATTTTTGTGAACAGAACATCTCGATAATTTGTCATGTTAATGGTCGTCATAGAGATTTTCAGGTCAGAATCAGACACTGAACCACCCAATTTTGATGGTTCCAGTGATCATTCCATGTTGTGTAAACCGCTGTAAACGAATGAAAGGGCAAGTGGCAACATTTATGGCAGAACCACAGAAGCTCTAATAGGAAATCGAGATAAATCGAGGATAAAGAAACCTGTCACCCGGCCTGTGGTGGTGTTGATAGCCCCAATGTTGGCTGCGTGTCAGACAGGTATTCCATGGCTTGCTCTGCTGATGCTGGGCGAAGTCTCATCTGTGAGCTGCCACCCTGCCCGAAGCCCGGAGATGCCAAGCTGTTGAGATCTGTTGAGATCTGTTGAGATACCAGGGCAATCCAGGAGATACCAGGGCACCAGAAATCGATCGCAGTATCGCTAGTGTCATCAGGGATCAGGGTGGAAATCGCCTTGGGATCCCCACGGTGAGGTCCAGAGCAACCCGAGATGCCGGAGTTTCGTCATCGCGCAGAGCCTTGGATGACTCCGTGTTTCGGGGATGGCCCTACCATGCCCTACCAATATTTGTGGCTGACTAATGAATATGTAGAGAGTCCTTTTTTCATCTTTTTTCCAGGGCTCGTGGGTTGCTTCAATGGAAAGATGTCCACTGAAAATACGCGGCCACAGCACTTTCAACACCTTTTGGGCCAAATGGCAGCCGAGGACGCCGCCATCTATGAGTTGCATGTGCGAGATTTCAGCGCCATGGACAAGACGGTGAATGCCAAGTGGAAGGGCAAATATTTGGCCTTCGAACAGGTGCACAGGGACCTTCAGATGGCTGCTGTGTGTAAAGACTCCCCTTGTACTGATGGTTTTATGCTGAACTTTGCTGAAAAAAATCCCTGGTCTCAAGACAGATTCTAAAATAATCCAAAATATACATATGTATCACTTGGGGCTTAGTTGAAGCTTTGAAATGACCCATGACATCCAATGATTGGAGGAGATTGGAAGCTTACAGATGCTTGGAGCTTTCCGCAGCTTTCAGGAGGGAACGGTGGGAGATCTCCATCTTCGTCAGCTGGCAAAGGCAGGCATCAGCCACGTCCATTTGCTGCCAAGCTTCGATTTTGGCTCTGTGCCCGAGCGCCCTGAAGAGCGAAAAGAACCTGAACTGCCCAGTGCCTCGGCTGTCTTGCAGACATTTGCAGACAAGGTATGAATAGGTATGATAAGGTTGTATAATTTGTCAGTTGGTATCATTTCAAATCATTTATAGAATGATACTTAATGATGTCATTCATGGGCTAAAGCAAGGCTAAAGCATGCTAAATCCGTTGTTTGTTGTATCTCTTGTCTCTACAACAAGCACTCGGAGGGTCCGTCACCAAATCATGACCGGCCAGATCAACAAAATCGGTACTGTAAGTTCATCCTTCTTTCATGAGGGAAACCCGTCAAAGTATGTCAAAGTATCGTGACTCGAAGTTCCTGAGTTTTCCATTGGATTGTCCAAAAAAAATGGGGACTTGACTGACTCGCCAATCAAAACATGAGTTGAGTACCAAATCGGGAAGATCCCACTGCAAGCTGTTCGACAGGCAAAGCTGGTCCAGACTCCGAGGGGCAACAGATGGCCGTAATGGAGCTCGCAGAGACTTGACGCCGATGTGATGCATTTCTTTCGTGATTGTTCCGCTTACAGTACATCATATTATTCATATTTATATCAATTTGATATCATTTGATTCCATTGGCACGTTCATAGTGGAGTTTCACGTATTTGTTGACATACCTGAGGAAGGTCTTACCCACAACATGTCGGATACCGGATAAAAATTAATGAAGCATTTAGAACTGCTGTCGTTTGGGTTTCAAGGTGGCCGGGGTTTATAGAGTGATCAAAATGTTCAGTTTGAGTTGTACTGCTACATTGGGGTTTGGAATTGCAATAACATTGCCATGTTGGGATCGATCTAGGTGTATGCAGCACATGTTTTGCTCGTTTAGTCCATGGTAGTTTCAGCTGTGAAGAATGTCAAGTCAAAACATGTTGGTGACGGTTCGCCAATTAGAGAATAATACGCCGTAAACTGGTGGATCTTCCAAAGCCCAGAATGCTTCCATTGCTGAGGACCAAGATGCCTTCAACTGGGGCTATGATCCCGTGTTGTTCGGAGTCCCTCGATTTGGTCAACCCAGCTAACATATGCTAAAATGGTCAAGATATGTCAAGATGAACAGATATGAACAGCGTTTTGCACTGTTAGTTCTGAGTGAAACACTAAATAACGCTAATATAGACAGCTGATGCAGTTGATTCCATCAACTCATCTGAATCTAGACGGCCAGAGGGGTGGGAACCCGGCCGGTGATAGGGGGTGTTGGTTCCGGTTCCGGGCACGACCCCTTGTGGAACTTGAGGTTGTTGGCCTTCTGTTCGGTCTGTTTATGCATGTTCATGTATGCAATTTTTAGATGTGTCCAGAAAAAGAATGAAAAAGATATCCTAGAGTGGTTGCATCCAAACAAAGGTTGAAAAAAAATTACCTTGAAATCGACTTGGTGGCTTCCAATGTTTCTATTGAAATCTTTGTTTCAAATGCAGAAAGTTTGTTATGCAATGGGACTGGTGATTTTCATGTTTGAATCCGGTCGGCCAGGTGCCAGAGGGATCCTACGCTACGGATCCGGATGGCCTGTGCAGGGTGTCGGAACATCGCCGAATGGTCACAGGTGCCGATCTGCAGGTGGCCTTTGGACCCAAAACAACGCATCGTCAAATCTTAGAGATTTAGCCACCGTCACATGAGGCCCGGCAGAGGACCACGTGATTGATCAAATAAAGACAGTTGCAATGCCAGGCGTTGATTTGTTTTGACTTGTTTTTGATATGTGTTAAGACAACGTCCAGCTGACGCGCACAAGACCAAGAACAAGATCCAGGGTTGTACGACGAGGTTCATGGAGGTTACACGTGCGCGCAATCAGGATGTTGCTCTAGCTGAAAATAGCGTGCAGTAGAGAGGTGTGGATGTCATGACAATTTGCAGTTGGTGGCTGAAATACTCCCTGGAGTGGTTGCAGTACCAGGTACAAGCCCTTGCAGCTATGGTGTGTATCATTGTGTATGCTTTCATGCCAAGACTACGCGCTGCTTGGGTATCCCCTTGTAATGGTGGCACAGTGACGTGCCGTTGAGTCCAATCCATTTGACAGGCACTATATCATACTGTACACGAACCTTTTGTTTTCATGTATACTTGCCAAACTGTATCATCTAGAATTTCAATATCCAAAGAAATGGCACCATTTAGAAGTATTTAGAACTTGGGGTTGGGGACATCATGTGTATGTCAAACATTGTCAAACCATCTCCAGGCCTTCATCGGAAGGGTCTCCGAGTGGTAGCGGATGTAGTCTTCAACCATGTGGCCTGGCGCGGCTGGGTTTGTCTGAGCATTTCGAATGGGGGAAAATGATGATAAACCATAGCTGGGTTTGTCTATGGTCCATCGGATTTTGGTATATATAATTATATATATGCATAATTATATATGTATACACATATACACACATATGCATACATATACACACATATACACACATATACACACATACATATATATATATATACATACATACATACATACATGCATATACATGCATATACATGCATATACGTGCATATACATGCATATACATGCATATACACATACACATACACATACGCATACGCATACACATACACATACACATACACACATACATACACACATACATATACACATACATACACACATACACACACACATGTACATATACACATATACACATACCCACACACACATACATATACGCATACATACACACATACATGCACACATACACACGTACACACATACACACATACACACATGCATGCATTGCATTGCATTGCATTGCATTGCATTGCATTACATTACATTACATTACATACTTTACATACATTACATACATGGCATACACTACATACACTACATACACTACATACACTACATACACTACATACACTACATACATTACATGCATTACATACATTACATACATTACATACATACAGCTGTGTGTGTATTGTTCCTGGAAGAGGCTTGGGTGCCTGCCGGAACCCTTCGATGCTTTCCACCAACAGTATGTTGAGTCATGGTTCAGGAATTCATTTTTCTGGCGCGCGGGTGTGGCCCCAGGTGTTTGGTAGTGGTCCTGTTGGCCCACACAGCGTCCTGGACAAGTGCGTGCCGGGCTACTACCTGCGCAGAAGTGACTCTGTCGAACTGGGATCGGGATGGGTTGGCAAGGGTTGGCATCAGGGATGCTTCCAGGGATAGTCACTTGTAGCATTCTGGATCTCAGGTGAAGATGGGCACGTGGAGAATTCCACCTGTATGCACCTTGGCGCCAAACTGGCCGGCAAGGCAAGAGAAGATGACCGGCTGGAGAGCATATTCTGAAAATTTCTGATCAGAGTCACTTTGGTTTCGCCAGTAAAGACCTGCAGGACCTACAAGGTTTCAATCGAAGTGATACCTTCCCTGGCCCATTTTGGTGCCGAAGAGTTCAGGTGGTTTCAAGGAATTGTTCGACGATTAGGACTTACCAAAATGGGTCAGAGGATGATGACTTGCTTATTATTCATGATTATCATTACTACTATTGAGATCCTGAATATCTCTAAAGAATACTTACTATTTACTATCATGATTGTTCCCTTGTAAGGATGGGGATGAGGATGAAGGGCGCTGGTGGCACTGAGACTGGTAGCTGGTAGCTGTATGTCCACTCCCAAAGGAACAACACCGCCACCGAGCGATACATGATGGAACGCCACGTGGTGGACATGGTGCGCTTCTGGGCTGTGAACCATCGAATCTCGGTGTGATTGTTGATGTCATTAGCTGGCTTCTGACTAAACAAACTGCTATCAGGCTATCAAATTGTACGTTAGGATCATTGCTTGATATTGCTTGTTAGTATTCATTGGTCGCGATAGTGTATTGTATGATATTCTATTATCTTCTATGGTTGTACACGGTCTAAACTAAATAGGGCCCCAAACTCCACTCAAAAAATGAAAGGGGTTGTCTTAGGACTTGCTGCAGGAATTCGCCGATTTGTCTGCTGTGCAGCAAATGAAAAATGCGATTCCGGAACCGATTCTTGTGATATGTATCCTATCCATCCTATCCCTATCCCAAGATTCTGACCGTCCTGGCCTGATTCCATCTGAGCTGTAAGGAGTGGATGGTTTCCGCTTTGATCTCATGGGACATTTGACTTTGAAATGCATCAAGTGCCTTAGCAAGTGACTGGAGGAGCCAGGAGATAATTCGGTGAAATGCAGAAAAAAGTATGGGACGTTCTGGGAGTGTAAGACCATTGTAAGACCATTGAGTCTGGGAGCCATCCGAAGCGTGGAACTCCTGAGGCGATGCCGTGCGGCATTGGACGAACTCTCATTGGACGAACATGGCATCGATGGACCCAGGCTGGAGCGGTTGAAGTGGATCGAAGCTGTCAAGATCCAGTTGGGCAATGCTGAATGGATTTGAATGGATTTGAATGGATTCATGCTGTGGATGCTGTTGATGCTTGGGCATGATCTAGTGAGATTTAGCGAGGTGATCAGTATCCCAGCACAGGCGATGTCACTGACATATCAATTTTATTTCAATTTGTATTATATAATTTATTTTATTGTAGCTTCATTGAGTATGTTTTATTGGAGCCTCCTTAAGTATGGGCGACTGCCAGTTGGAATTGCTGTTGCTACATTGCGTTTCGTTTTGTTTGTCAGATTTTGTCAGGTTGCTGATGTATGGTGAGGGCTGGGAGTTTGGAGAGATCGCCAAGTGGCTTGGTGGTGATTGACATTGGGAAGCCCCGAGCTCCAAGAGGAAATTCGAGGGAAATGAATGGCGCATCGACATGAAACCGGGAGGAAAGCAGTTGCTTATGATCTTATGGGTGTTGCAAATGGTCACTTTACACTATTTATCAAGCTACAGGAAGTTTGCGGGCTGTGCAAGGGTTCTTTCCTTCCAATTGAAAGATCATCAAAAAAATCAAGAGGTCATTATATGAGGTCATTACCAGGTCATTCATCTTTCCATATCTTTCCATATCTTTCCTACCAGGTCCAATCGATGCCACGTCCCAGGAACGCCCGCGGCACCACGGCCTGCCAACGGCACCTGGCGGGCAGCAGCATCGGCAGTTTCAACGACGGCTTGCGCAGCGCGGCGCTGGGCGGAAGCGCCTTCGAAGATCCGCAACTCCAAGGTGAACAACGGGAAGCCACGGGTGGTTTCAAAGTGGAAAAATGTGGAATAATGTGGAATATAACTATGAATAACTATGAATAACTATGAATAACTATGAATAACTATGAATAACTATGAATATCTGTAACTATTGGACTACTTTTGACTGAAAGGGGGAAATGGTTGAAATGAGAAGATGGTCAAAGATGGTCAAAGTATGAGGTAATGCCATGAATTTGGATGAATTTGGTGGTTGGTGTTTCATCAGCACTGTCGGTGACAGCATAGTCTGCATGAAAATCTGGTGCCTGGGCGCTCCAATCCATTCCAATCCCATAGTGCAGACAGCAGACCCCACTACAGGCCTATCTCAGGTCTACATATGATGTCATGAGATTGTACAAGTTGACATTCAACCTGTCTTAGATTCTTAGATCCACTTAAACACTGAATCATTAGAGTATATTAGAGTCATATTGTGATTATATCTTCTGACACTGTATTTCGGTGCTATCACTGATATATTATGTGTGTGTATATCGAGAGAGAGAGAGAGAGACACTATAATATGCAAACGGACATGATATCTATCTATCTATCTATCTATATATATATATATATAATTAAGTGAAATCCAATTATTTGTTTATTGTGCTCTGAAAAATGGCGGAACAGGTTGCTGGGATTCCCATCTTGCCAGGCTTCACCACCGGCCTCGGTCTACGGGATTCTGCGGCAGAGGAGCTGCAGATTGAGAACAAGAAACTCACCTAGAAATGTCGGTATTGTCGCGGATTGGTCCATACTTTATTGTAGTGGCAAAGGGGAACAAATAGAACATGATAGAACTAGGTGTAATTGGAATAATTATAGTACATAAGTTACATAAGTATATGTTATATGACTTCATATGACTGGATCTAGTTGAGAAACATGGGTATACGATTAGCATTGACTACGCCAAGTTGGTGCCCAGGATACCTGGAGTATCCAATCTTGAGGAATCATGCATGGTGCAACAACCGAGTGCGACCTAGGAAGCAGATGGAACTTCTCCGAATTGCAGCAGACAACATCAGGCAGGGTCCATGACCATCCATGAATATCCATGACCTGGTAGCTTGTTGCAGCCGAAAATCCTCAAAGCAGGAATTTCACATGATTTTACTATACCATACTATACCCAATTCCTGAGAAGATGGTAGAGGTCACTCCACCCATTGGTCCCAGTGTTGTAGCTGTACCATGAGCCTTGCAGTAAATGGGAAAAGGTTGAGCCCCAAGAGTTGGACGCTTGGTCAAGGTTTGGACGCTGGAACATCCACAGTCCGATGTAGTCCCTTAGAAAAAACTACCAGAAACCTGCGTTCAGTGTTGCAACTGCTCAGTTTGGGATCTTATAGGGGAGATCGCATGAATGTTTGCAAGGTGGCAAACCATCTGTCTCCATCCACACACCACGCGTTCCTTGCGAGGCTTTGCATGGCCGGCGGATTGAAGGACTACAAGTGCCCTGGATGCGACGTGCGGGCCGGGTGGATGACCTGAGAGGATCGGAGTTCCGGCGCAGAGCATATTGTCAATTTGTCACACATAGACAATTATGACAATTATGACAATTGATGGAGAAAAACTTCTCGCCCCATCTCGCCCCAAACACTTGTTCCAGCTGTGCGGGTCTCAAAGCCTGTGCTGTGTGCCGGTTGCAAAGGCTTTCCCGAAAACTGCTATTGCAGATCATTCGGAGGGCGTCAGCTTTTAGAGAATTTCCTGTTATGGCCATCCTTACAAAGCTAATCCATTGCATTGGGTGTCGCCTTTGCCTCATCGTTTCTTATGGTCAGGTTGGAACAAGACTGCTTCGGCCGCAAGGGTTTGCCCGCGGGCCAACTGCATGGGGGGCATGCGGCCTATGTGTCAGCGCCAGATGCTTGGTCAGAGATGGCTCTCGACTCCGATCATGAAATTTATTGAAGGGCCACATTCTTCATTTTTCCGCAGGCAGTCTTGGGAAACCAATCAGTGTCAAATCATGCTTTCCAGCTTTAGACACACATGGTTTTGTTGGGTATTTGAAAAGTTTCTTGATGAAATCATTGTTCTCGGTGAAAATCCTTGCGTTTTCAAGGGAAGCAAAGGACATCATTTCGTCCCTCTTTATACCGATGCACTGGTGTTTCTTTAAATCGGGCAAGTTGAAGTCAATTGATGTTGCAATGTGCTTGTCTTCTTTCCGAACTTCGACAAAGTCATAAGTTCATGGAGCAACACGGAGCAACATGGAGCTTTATATCTCCGTGGTGGGAATTTCGGTGTCAGCCAATCAGCAGTTGGTACAGCTTTTGGTCCCAGGAAGAAGTGGTGAATTTCATTTGCGTCCATGACAATGAGACTCTCTACGACAGCGCCTTTGTCAAGTGTTGGAATCTGGTGGCCTAAACTTGAATCTGGTGGCCTAAGCTTAAGAGAGACTGAACTGATTTTGTCAAGACACACTAGAATGTGCAGCAGGCAGTCTTGCAATGAGAGGCGATGCGATGACTAGAAAGTTAAGATATGTTAAGATAGACTTTTTTGGAGGGCAGATGTGTTTTGCAGATGACACCATCCAGTCACATCGATGTGTTTGGACCTGCATACCTGTCGATGCCGCGAATCTTCATGCAAGACCATCAGAATCCATTGGTAAGTAGTAAAAATGGTATAGCATGGTATAGCATGGATATAGCCCCAGTTCCACGCATAAGTTCCATGCATTGACTTGTTGGTAAGTATATCTTTCAAGTGATACAGGTTTCCTTCTGTCCTCAAGGAGTACCACCCTCCGCATAAGTCTAGCTTGCCACCCCAAACTCACAGCCATTTTGCTCCTTCGCACGACTTGGGTTTTCCTTCGGAACCTGCGTTTTGACTGCTGGGTATTTGAGTCATTAATGTTTGATTCTCGAACTTTGGCGCCGAACCCCCCGTTGCCAAGGCACCGTTTGGAAGATGCCACCGTCAATCAGCAGCGTTGAAGATCGGCTGCGAGCCAACTGGCTCTGCACTGTCGCCTGGCTGTAGCCTTGTCAATAGACTTACATCATCTTACATCCTGATCAAAAATTGCTAACACTTGATCACTTAACAGATCAGAAACTAAATAAGTTAAGTCATGACATTGCAATGATAGATCATAGGTGATCAGAAATGGTCTGGGCCCGGAGATCCTTGAGATATCATCAACAAGTTTGGTTGCTGAACTGCTGAAGGCCATTTTGGCGCTGAGTCATGGCGTTCCACTCTTCCATGCAGGACAGGAGCTGGAAGTGGGCGATCGGGGGACCGGGTCAGGAAAACCACCTGGAAAGTGGGAGGGGACTTTAAAGTCTTTAAAAATGTGCAGGGCAGAAGTCATCCTCAAACTGCAGGGCGGATTCTGCACTGACTATTTCATGTGTATATTGTTCAATTCATAAGACGAGACCAGATCAGATTAGATTGCTTAAATTAGATTTAGCTGTGATTTGATCGACAAAGATAGAGAACTAGACGTGTTACAACAGCTCCATTTGATTCCATGTGTATTAAGTACATATTTATATATATATAATACATATATATATATACGTATATATCTATATATATACGTATATGGTTAAATTTCCCAGTTTGTTCTTTGCAGGTGATGAAGTGCTGAGATCAAAGTCATTGGATCGCGACAGCCGCTGGGTGTGGATGGCAGGATGCAGCATTCAGCGCAGGAACATCAGTTGAGTGTGTCCCAAAAAGTGGTGTCCCATGGAGTCGCAAGTATCCAAATCTTGTGGTCTAGTTTAGATATACAATATATCGGTTCATTATATCTATCCAATCTAGTCTAGTCTAGCCTAGCCTAGCCTAGACTAGACTAGACTAGTCTATCTATCTATCTACCTACCTATCTATCTATCTATCTACCTATCTATCTATCTACTATGTTAAATTTATATGCGAAACTCTAAGGTTGGAGCTGGGGCTTTTACAAAAAATCTCAGTGACCCGTTCCATGTGCCACCTACTGTTGGAAGAATCCGTAGGCAGTTTATGCTAGCGGGTGGAAAACCACACATGTAGTCGTGCCACTTTTTGAAAATGGGGTTTGGGTCGGGTGGGGTGAGGCAATAACGTTCATGCTACTTGCAACCTCAACTGATGCTACGCTAGGGCTACGTCATGGCTTGGGGTTTGGGCCGGGTGGGGTGAGGCAATAACGTGCATGCTACTTGCAACCTCAACTGATGCTACGCTAGGGCTACGTCATGGCTTGGGGCTTGGGTCGGGTGGGGTGAAGCAATAACGTTCATGCTACTTGCAACCTCAACTGATGCTACGCTAGGGCTACGTCATGGCTTGGGGTTTGGGTCGGGTTGGGTGAGGCAATAACGTTCATGCTACTTGCAATCTCAACTGATGCTACGCTAGGGCTACGTCATCTCTTGGGGTTTGGGTTGGGTGGGGTGAGGCAATAACGTTCATGTCATGCTACTTGCAACCTCAACTGATGCTACGCTAGGGCTACGTCATGGCTTGGGGTTTGGATCGGGTGTGGTGAGGCAATAACGTTCATGCTACTTGCAACCTCAACTGATGCTACGCTAGGGCATGCTAGGGCTACGTCATGGCTTGGGGTTTGGGTCGGGTGGGGTGGGGCAATAACGTTCTTGCAATCTCAAGTGATGCTACGCTAGGGTCAACAATAACGTTCGTTTGCAGCTACGCTACGTCACAATAACGTTCATGTTACTTGCAATCTCAAGTGATGCTACGCTAGGTTACATCATGCGGTGGGGTGGGGCAATAACGTTCATGTTACTTGCAATCTCAAGTGATGTTACGCTAAGGTTACGTCATGGCTTGGGGTGGTGGGGTGGGGCAATAACGTTCATGTTACTTGCAATCTCAAGTGATGCTACGCTAAGGTTACATCATGGTTTGGGGTTTCGGTGGGGTGGGGCAATAACGTTCATGTTACTTGCAATCTCAAGTGATGCTACGCTAAGGTTACGTCATGGCTTTGGGGTTTGGGTGGGGTGGGGTGGGGCAATAACGTTCATGTTACTTGCAATCTCAACTGATGCTACGCTAGGGCTACGTCATGGCTTGGGGCTTGGGCGGGGGGGGGTGAGGCAATAACGTTCATGTTACTTGCAATCTCAACTGATGCTACGCTAGGGCTACGTCATGGCTTGGGGCTTGGGCGGGGGGGGGTGATGGGGATAATAACGTTCATGTTACTTGCAATCTCAAGTGATGCTACGCTAGGGCTACGTCATGGCTTGGGGCTTGGGCGGGGGGGGGTGGGGCAATAACGTTCATGTTACTTGCAATCTCAACTGATGCTACGCTAGGGCTACGTCATGGCTTGGGGCTTGGGCGGGGTGGGGTGAGGCAATAACGTTCATGTTACTTGCAATCTCAACTGATGCTACGCTAGGGCTACGTCATGCTTGGGGCTTGGGCGGGGTGGGGTGGGCAATAACGTTCATGGCAATCTCAAGGCAATAACGTTCATGTTACTTGCAATCTCAACTGATGCTACGCTAGGGCTACGTCATGGCTTGGGGCTTGGGCGGGGTGGGGTGAGGCAATAACGTTCATGTTACTTGCAATCTCAACTGATGCTACGCTAGGGCTACGTCATGGCTTGGGGCTTGGGCGGGGTGGGGTGAGGCAATAACGTTCATGTTACTTGCAATCTCAACTGATGCTACGCTAGGGCTACGTCATGGCTTGGGGCTTGGGCGGGGTGGGGTGGGGCAATAACGTGCATGTTACTTGCAATCTCAAGTGATGCTACGCTAGGGCTACGTCATGGCTTGGGGCTTGGGCGGGTGGGGTGGGGCAATAACGTGCATGTTACCGTCAATCTCAAGTCAATGGCTTAGCGGCTAAGCAAACGCTTGGCAGACTGAAGCGACTTGCTCAGAAGTAAAAAACGACCATCATCCCAAAGCCACAAAACCCTGTAGATACCATGAAATCACTTCAACATTACTCGATTTTCCCCGGGAGAAATCATAGAAACATGACTTATAACACGCACGGCGCCACACTGCCAGACCTTTTTTTTCAAAACATGTTCAACCGCTAGCGCGGTTTCCCACCCGCCGGGCAGTTTATGTTTTCAAGTTCCGGAAAGCGGTAGTAAGCAACCCTTTCAGGCGCTCCTTATCTCAATGATATCCCATATCCCATATCACACGTGCATTTGCCGTACCTTGGTGATGGTTGAACCGAAGCCTCATACGAGTCATACAAGTTCAAGTTCCAATCTGTTTTGAAGAAAGATTGACAAGAACCCCCTAAACACACAGATCACACAGGTGGTTCCTATACATCGCCTTGCTCTTCCCAGCTCACTGTGACATGAGGCTACAACAGCGGCGATTGGTTTAACCGGTTTCTTGGCCGCTTTCGAACATGGTTCCGCTCGGGAATTTGGCTCATAGTTTAACAATGTTGAATACATGGATGAAATGGGTGAAATGAATCCAAGTTGATGAAATGAATCCAAATGGGACCAACGAGGGCACCACCAAAAAAAATTGCATAGGATCGTACAGAATCTAACAACATGAAAATAAAATGAGCTGATATGAAATTCTCAACAGCTGGGTGCACCTCTAAAACCTTCCAACCCACGGAGCCACAGAGTTCCCTCAAAAAATCTTCCCGGGAAGTTCATAAAAAAAGATCACCGGGAAGTTCCGTGAGAAACTTCCCGAGGGGTTCTTTAGGGCATCAAATTGTCTAGGGATTTGGGGGGACACTTTGCCAGGTGGAATGTTTAATAATGTTTAGGGAACTTTCTGTGGCAAGTCCCCTGAAGAATCCCCAGACCTTGAAAAACCCTGGTACTCTGAATGCTGCAGCAGCTTTGATCCTTTGAACTTTGCAGCTCTGCAACGTTGAAACCGTGCACTTCTTATCCCTGGAACCTGGAAACTACGGAGGGTTTTGAAACTCTGGAACCTTGGAAGATCGAAACCCTGTGAATCTGTGCCTTAACCAGTAGAAATGTGGAGAACCTGGATAACCTTTGAAACTTCAAACTCTTCAACTGGACCACGACTCTGGAACCTGTTTCATGACCTATAATGACCTATAGGGACTAAGACCCCCAAGCATAGTTGCGGGGGAATGACTACTTGATACTACTTGTAGTTGTTTCCGACAATACTAATCATGAAATATAGTAGAGAAGGATTGCAACAAAAGATGACGAATGGATACGAATGGTAATATATAATGTTGGCAATAAAATGACAATGATCATGATCATCAATGATCGTCTACAAATGATAATCAATGGTAAACCAAAAGCCAAAATGGAACATGAAAGATCATAAAAATGCTCTACTTCTAGGCTGGACTTCACGGGCGAGCGCTCAGCCTTCGGTACTGGCCTCCCACCCTGGGGCAAGAACCACGCCAAATGGGAGCCTCGGTGTGGGTGCCATGGTGTTTGAATGGTCATGTTGATCATCTTACACGTTTTGACTCTTATTCGAAGGAAGTTTAGACGTCAAACTTCCGACAATATGGACAGATGGAAAAGCAGAGGTGGGAAGAGTCAGAGAAGAGAAGAGAAGAGAAGAAGAGAGAAGATCAGAGAAGAGAAAGAGTCAGAGGAAAGAAGATGCAGGCGTGCGAAAAGGTAGAAAAGACGCGATTCACTGTGTTTTCCAATGATTTGTGGCTCTGGAGGATCGAAAAGTAGGCTCGCTAAAGCGGCGGGTGCGGAGCCATCTGGCCAGATGAGAGATGAAAAGTTGCACGCCGTTGTGGCGCGAAGCACATTTGGAAGTCAAAATGTACAAAACACACCATGCACGGACCACTTTTGGAAGGTGACATGTCGAAAAAGTGGACGCGGCTGTGGCGCGAAGCACATTTCCAAGTCAAAATGTACAAAACACTTCAGTGTCGGAGCACTTTTGGAAGGTGACATGTCGAAAAAGTGGACGCGGCTGTGGCGCGAAGCACATTTCCAAGTCAAAATGGTAAAAGCACCACATGCTCGGACCACTTTTGAAGGTTCAGATGTGGTTTTGCGTGGCAGGCGCAAGCGATTCTGCGCCTTGGCAAAAGTGAGCAAAACGTCAAGGTCTTGCAGCATTTCCAAAAACGATGGCAGGCGTGGGACATTTGAAGAGGATCTGGAAAGACGCATTTCGTGTGGCAGGCGCAGTACACGAGACATGTTCATCAGAGACGTTAGGAGGTCAAGGCCTCAAGGCGTTGATTTCCTGAGAGGGGTTGCATTTTGGAGCATCAGATCTTCAGGTTTGCTAAGATGTGACAGGTGCAGCACTTTGTATTACCTGGTGTCACTTTTGCGTGACAGGCGCAGCACTTTACACAGATGGAGTGGAAAAATCGCAAAACTTATTGGTACGAGGCCGTCAGCTCTGCACTCAACTCTCCATTTTTGAAGGAAGTCTCGCAGAATTGCTTAGTTTTTGATGTTGTCAACTTCGAAAATTGAAGGAAGTCTCGCAGAATTGCTCCGTTTTCGTTGTTGTGAAATTAAAACATTGAGGAAATCTTGTAGAATTGCTTCGTTTTCAAGCTTGCAGATAGACACATGGATGGATGGGTGGGTGGATGGATGGGATGGATGGATGGATGGATAGATAGATAGATAGACAGATAGATAAGATAGATAGATAAGATGGATAAGATTGATAAGACAGATAAGATCGATAAGATAAGATAAGATCAGATAAGATATGTCAAGATAGATTAGATAGATTAGATAGGTTAGATAGATTAGATAGAATAGATAGATTAGATAGATTAGATAGATTAGATAGACTAGATAGATTAGATAGACTAGATAGATAAGGTGGATAATGTAGATAAGGTAGATAGGGTAGATAAGATAGATAAGATAGATAAGATAAGATAGACAAGGTAGATAAGATAGATAGATAAGATGAGATAAGATAGATAGGTAAGAAAGATAAGATAGTCAGATAGCTAGATAAGATAGAGAGAAAGAAAGAAAGATAGATAGAGAGATAGAGAGATAGATAGATAGATAGATAGATCGATGGATAGATAGGTAGATAGATCGATCGATCGATAGATAGATAGATAAGACAGATAAGACAGATAAGACAGATAAGAAAGATAAGAAAGATAAGATGGATAAGATAGATAAGATAGAAAGGGTAGATAAGGTAAATAGGTAGATAGGTAGGTAGATAGATAGAAAGATAGATAGACAACTACAACTGCAACTGCAACTGCATCTGCACACACACGCTACACTACAAATACAAATACAAATTTGCTACGCTACAGTACGCTAATTACACGACTGCTCTAATTACACTACAATACACGAACTACAGTACACTACACGAATTACACTGCTACTATAACTACAACTACGACTACTATTACTACTACAGCTTCAGCTACAGCCACAGCTACAACTACAACTACACTACACTAATTACAGTACACTACAATACACTAGACATCAACTACAACTACACTACATTACACAGCACTACCCTACACTAATTACACTACAACCACAACTACAACTACAACTGCATTACACTACGCTGCGCTAATTACACTACACTACACTGCACTACACTGCGCTACGCTACACTACACTAACTACAGCTACAACTACAACTACACCACACTACACTACACTAGACGACGCTCCAGCAAACTACACTACACCACATTACATTACACTCATTACACCACACCACAGCCACAACTGCAACTACACTACGCTAATTACACTACACTACAACTACAGCTCCACTCCACTAAAATACAACTACAAGCACAAGTACAGCTGCACTACACCACACTACATCCAGCAGCTGTCGGGGAGGTGACCACTGCAACCGTTGCAACCACAAAAAAAAACACAACTCCAACCACCTTTCGGTTCATCAGTGGATTCGCTCTGCAAACCACGCATCACAACAACTCACCTCTCCTGTAGCGTCCTACCTTTGAAACTTCCGCCACCGCCTTGTGCGGTACTACTGGTATGATTAGCACATATTGATACAATTTGATACATGTTGTTTTGACCTTAATAGACATCAAAACAGGATCAAAGTTAGCGGTGTCAACAGATACTTCAAATCCTTGTGACTGTGAAGATACTGGGAAGATTGTTCTATTTGGCACCTAAACCTCGGCGGGAACATGTTCACAGTCGAAACCCAGATGTCTTCTTATGACATTGATTTCCACCCAGACCCTGATTCTGGGTTCAACTCCTTGTACAGAGCCAACTTCAGTATTCATGCATTACGGAAATCCCAGAAAAAAGTCACCATGGCCAAAATTTGCTTACTTGCTGCAACCCGCCAAACCATGCTGTTAATTCCTGATCACCTTCCAAAACCGGCTACCTATTGGCTATTTATTGGCTATTTATTGGCTATTTATGGACGGACGTCCACTAGCCCACAAGGAACCCATGAAGCCGCTGTTACGCGATGAGACCTTGGTCCCAACGGCTGAGATGGCGCAGAGGACCACGGCGAAATTTTGCGTCCTGGCGGAGATAGCCATCCTTTGCAGGCTCACTGAGTGCCAAAATCCACAGATTCAAATTGTCAAATAAATGTTAATTTATGGTAATATGGGGCATATGTCATTTTAATTTATTTGGTTATGCTTAGTATTCAAACATTGTCCTTTCGGGAGTCTGGAATTTTGAGCCACCACCAAATGATTTCTGGTTTAGCTTCAACGGTTCGCCCCCATATCCCATCATCACCATGAAGGTGGCACTTTTAAGATGTTTTGACACTTGGGCCATCGTGCGGCATTTGATTCAGGGCAATCAACCTGCTGATAAATCTGATAGATGCGGTGGTTTGGGACCAAACACCACCTTTTTTCTGTGGGAAAAATCCAACTGAATGATCTTCCCCAAGACACCAATGCCTGGCTGAGGCGAACTCTTGAGCATTCGCCGCTCCACCCCGTTGTGTTTCGGCAGGAAGTTGTGACATGTTGTGACCTCTACTGACACGGCCCACTGATGAGAGAATTAATGGATGCTCCATGTTTGTGTATGTTCCAGCAACTCTCACAAGGCAAACAAATCGACTGGCAGCTGGAGCATGACCTCCATTGGGGGTCGGCACTATTGAAATGCTCAACCTGTATGGATGGGGTGTCTCCCGTTTATGGTGAAACCCAAATTCCAACAAGAATGGGCAGGGGAGCACGCAAGATACCCTCCTGGCAATCAACATCGCAATGGGAAAGAATTAATTAGATGCCAAGGGTTTGTGAGTTGTGTGTCCCGAGTTTCTGTTCACCACTACGCGTCTATCCAACGAAGCATAAGAGGTATATCCACCGCCCAGGCTGGGTCTATGGGAAGCAGAGGTCGCTGAGCTGCAGCTGACCGCGGAGTCCAGAGCAACTTCTAATCCCAGTTTTGTACATATACAGTGTATGTACATATATATATATATATATACATTATATATATATATACATAATATATATATATATACATAGTCATTTTTGATTCTCTCTCTATATATATAATTATATATGATTCTATATACATGATTATATCTGATTCTATGTGTGCGTGTGTGTATGTGTATATATATATATATGTATACACAAACTGTAAATTTATGCATATGTCTACTGGAGACGACAACGAAGCACCATCCAGGATCCAACCAGAGCCCCTGAAAGTGCCGACTGGCTTGGTTTAAAAGTCATCCGTGTGGATCTCTGTGTCGGGGACTTGTGGCGTCAGGATATCAAGCAGAAGGTGAAGTTCCCCGGCTGTGGTGGGGCACAGCTTCCAGGTGGGCGATATTTTCCCACCAGAACTCATGTGGCCAAACCAAGACCATAAAGGGACCATAAACATCCATGAAGCATACCATACTGTACCATACCCAAATCATGTCTCTTAATCTGTCCAAGATTTGTCAAAGTTCACACAGGTTCACCAGATTTGCTTTTGTGAACCTTAAAACAGTAGCGTTTCTCATGGGGCTTTCCCACAACATGGTGCCAGGATTTAACCGTCCCCCAGGAGTTGTGGTCATGGAAGTGCGCAACGGTCCACCTGCCAGCGACCCGGGTGCCGAGCCGCTATGCCACTCGGATTCTGGGCGCGTGGCCTCGGCTAGGCCAGTTGAAAAAACACTGATTTGATGGAAAGATGATGGATGATCAAGTCAGACAGTTATATGATGTTACATGATGTTACATGATGTTACATGATGTTACTTGATGTTACATGATGTTACATGTTCAATGATATTTGTAGATTTTGTAGACTGGTTCTCACTTGATGTAGGCAGGTTGTCCCTGCAAAGGCAACAGCTTCGCCCGGGTGGTTGTGGTCATCTCGGCTCTCCAGACGGAGATCAGGTCTGGATCCAGCAGACATTGGGCGGGCCATGCTACCGGGTACCTCCCGGGTTTTCCATGCGAAAAGTTCATGGAAATGCATGGAAATGCACGGAAATGCTGGAATTGGTCCGCGTTTTTCCATCTTCAAGGGTCAAATCGAATCAGATGCAAACATATCCATGCTCCATGCCGATTTGATGGCATTTCTGGCGCTTTTCACTGCAGGCTGCCAGTCCCCATCAGCAACACTGACGGCATAATGCAGTTGCCACTCGGGAAGGAGTTTGTGACTGGTTAATGGTAGCGCCGGATGGAATTTGAATGTGGAATGATGTGGATAGGGTTGTGTATAGGTCAAAGTCCGGAACCGCAAACAATGGTGAATGGCTTAATATCAATATTTGATATCAATTAGGATCAGCGAAATTGGGGTCCAACTGAAGTCAGTTTTGAAAATTAAGGTATGCATGTAAACGCTTATTCTTGTACAATGGCTGAAGACGTAAATGAAGGGGTAAGACAAGCAGTCCAACCAAAGTGTCATGGACTTTTCAAATACTTGTATTATCCATGCGTCCCTCATTTCGACAAGGGCCCTTTTTCTCTTTGCCAAGGCATCCCTTGCACAAAACCTCCAAAGATGAGCTGACGCGTGAGGCCAGCGTGGATGAGGAAAGCACCTGGTTGGCAAGTCGGAGAAGATTGATAAGATATACTAAGAATTAATAAGATGGTATCAGCCGAAGTGATTTGCCCAACTCGACACCAGGTTTGCGTGCCGCTTGAGCCTAGATAATCGCACGCGTACTTAACCGTTTTTCTCGGTATACTGTGTGCAAGACTATGCAAGACTATGCAAGACTATGCAAGTACATGTGCACGCATGTATGCCAAGTTAGGCTGGGGCATGGGGAATGCAAAGATTTAGGCAAAGATTTGAGACGGTTCCGAAACACAAGCACATGCTCTCATGAAGTGTGAAGAATACACGCAAAACGTGGCTAGAAATGATTAAAAGATAGAGACAATTAAAGTCTATTAGCATCACCGGTATGGTTGGATCCAACTCAATCTTCCAAATCTGTGGTTCATGTTACAACATTTTACATCTATCATCTTGGATATCCTAGATGGCAGTATCGGAGTTTACAATCGCAGTGCCATTGTGGACGTGCCAAACCGGAAATCCGTGAAACTCAGGTTATGAACAGGTGAAGGGTTTGGACGACCCAAAATCTGCGGGTTTGGGGTGCTACATTTTGACCTATTCCCAATACTCAAGCAACAGAGAATTATTGACGGGGCCAGTTGCGGAGCATATCTCCGGTTTACCCTGTAAACTTGTACAGCTGACTATGATATTAGGCGCACAGACAATTCCCAAGCGGAGAGGAACTCGTTAAGGAATGCAGTGGAGGCATGTCAGGCATGCCCTTTGCCAAGGCAATGAGTTGGTTGTGCCAGCAATGACACTCGGCAATACAGGGTTTCAGCTTGATGCAGGGATCTAGTTGAAACACTTCAATTCGAGAACCGTGGATCATGCTCCACTGCCATGGCTTATCCCACCTGGTTGAAATCAGGTATCAGAGCAAGTTTGCGATCCTTTGTGATTGAATGGAACACCCTGCTCCTACATCCAAAAGATCAAGGGCTTCACATTTACATCATGTTTGGTTTACGTAGAAGAAATAGCTTAATGACTTTCGGATGTTTTTGACCTTGTGCAGAGATTCAGCTACACGGGGTGTTGCTGCCGGTGTCCGATAGGTCAGCCATCGTTTTCGTTGAGCCCATGCCCAGCTCGAAGAACTACAAGCCATGCGATCCCAAGTTGAAGTTCAAGCCACCAGCATCCTGGCTCAAAGAGCCATGGCTCAAGGTTATTTGGATGGTACTGTATGATATAATATGATATGATATGATATGATAAAATATAATTTAATATGACATAATATAATATACTATGCTATAATACTATATATAATGTCATACAATATGAAATAATATAACATAATATGATATGATTTAATTTCATATAATATACTATGATATAATTTAGCTATATTCAAGAAGTCGCTAATGAGGATTTTTAAACATTTTTGGACGTATTGAACGAGGGGGGTTGGACGTGCGTACGAACGTGCGAAAAGGGGGCGTGCGAGGGGGCGCGCGAGCGAACGCACGGGCGAACGGGCGAACGTACGGGCGAACGTACGGGCGAACGTACGGGCGAAACGCACGGGCGAACGTGCGAAAGGGCAAAAGATGTGGGGAGTACGGGTAAAAGATGTGTGGGGCGTACGGGCAAAAGATGTGGGGTGTATGTTTGACCGGTGATAAAACAAACATGCATTGGCGCTTTGGGTTGTAAATGTTTACATACCACTCCTATACCTCAATGCCCCCCAAAAAAAACATTATCATGTCAAAGTGGGTTGACGTAAGTTGGGTTTCACAATGTCAGGTGGGACTACTTGGAAATAATTTCCCTTCCTACCTCCCCCCTCAAAATGTATTTCCCGAATATGTTTTTTTGGCCCCTTTGACATATTTTGACAAAGGATTGCCACATGCCAAGTTTCCATCCAAAATGCCCGACAAATCCCCTCCATATCCCCTTCTCACCTTTCACTGCAACTCAACCTTCTAACAAAAAATCAAAATATGAGGGATGCCTAAAGAGTATGCCCCGTCAATATACCTCAGAAATGAATAATAAAGAATTGTTCTGGCATACCTTGAGTTGAAATCTCAAAAAAACAGAGCTCAATGAGATATATGGGATTCTGGAATAATATCTAACAGAAGGATACCCCTCTCACAAATAAAATTACTTTACTTCGTGTGATCCCCACCATGACATTTATACATTTTCTTACTGGCAAATCTTCTGGCATTCTATCTGACATATCTTCTGACATTCTATTTGGCATTCTATCTGGCATATCTTCTGGCATATGATCTGGCATATCTTCTGGCATATCTTCTGGCATTCTATCTGGCAAATCTTCTGGCATTCTATCTGGCATATCTTCTGGCACTCTATCTGACATATCTTCTGGCATTCAATCTGGCATTCTATCTGGCATATCTTCTGGCATATATTCTGACATATCTTCTGGCATTCTATCTGACATATCTTCTGGCATATGTTCTGACATATCTTCTGGCATATCTTCTGGCATATCTTCTGGCATATCTTTTGACATATCTATCTGGCATATCTTCTGGCATATTTTCTGGCATTCTATCTGGCAAATCTTCTGGCATTCTATCTGGCATTCTATCTGGCATATCTTCTGGCATATTATCTGGCATTCTATCTGGCATATCTTCTGGCATATATTCTGACATATCTTCTGGCATTCTATCTGGCATTCTATTCTATCTGGCATATCTTCTGGCATATCTTCTGACATTCTTTCTGACATTCTTTCTAACTTTCTTCTGCACATTCTTTGTCCCATATCTTCCTACATGAGGTCCGGCAGGGAACTCTTGGCGTGGATACTCGCGGTTGAGGTCCGGCAGGGAACACTGGGCGTGGATGGTCGTGGTTGAGGTCCGGCAGGGAACACTGGGCGAGGATGGTCGTGGTTGAGGTCCGGCCGGGCGTGGATGGTCGTGGTTGAGGTCCGGCACACTGGGCGTGGATGGTCGTGGTTGAGGTCCGGCAGGGAACACTGGGCGTGGATGGTCGTGGTTGAGGTCCGGCAGCGAACACTGTGGATCGCGAGTCGCAGTTGAGCAGGAGGACGAGGAGGACAACGAGGACGACGAGGACAACGAGAGGACGACAAGGACGACAAGGATGACAAGGAGGACGAGGAGGAGGAGGAGAGGAGGACGAGGCAGGAGGAGGCGGAGGAGAAGGAGGAGGCAACTGACATAAAGTCTAACAACCCTCACCTGGCAGGTGGGGAACAACAAAAGGGGATACGTAGCATTGTGTAGCCTCACCGAAGCTGAATTGAAGAAAATCACGAAGTACATCATCAAGAAATCCTGCACAATGTTGGTTGTGCAAAAGTGTTTTATTTGTTTTTATGATTGTTTTTTGGATCGATCATGTCTGCTCCCTGTTAGTCTTGGCAGAATCTCCCTCACTGTAAGTTGCACCAAGAAAGCATCAAAATTTGCAACCCGCAACCAAAAACTTTCTTTAAAATTATCTAAGGATATAGGAGATGCAGTGCACTCCTCAAAAATCAAAGGTGGCAGCTGCCAGAACCACCCAACTCGCCCAGAAACTGGAAAAAACGTCAAACATCTAGAAAAACTTTTCCATTCTTTTCCCACTCATTCCCATCGAGGGTTCTTTGGAGGGAAATGAAAGGAATATCGGAGAAAAGGGTTGGGAAAACCACTAGGAAAGAGCCAGGTTGAATACCATTTTTTGGGATGTCACAAGGAAGAAAATTATTCTAAGGGTATGGGGGTGCCCTGCACTCCTCAAAAACCAGAGGGGGCAGCTGCCAGAACCACCCAAGTCGCCCAGAAGCTGGAAAAAACGTCAAAAACCCAGAAAAACCGAATGCTTGCCTTTTTCCACTCATTCCCATCAAGGGTTCTCTGGGGGGAAATGAAAGGAATATCGGAGAAAAAGGTTGGGAAAACCACTAGGAAAGAGCCAGGTTGAATACCATTTTGTGGGATGCCACAAGGAAGAAAATTATTCTAAGGGTATGGGGGTGCCCTGCACTCCTCAAAAACCAGAGGGGGCAGCTGCCAGAACCACCCAAGTCGCCCAGAAGCTGGAAAAAACGTCAAAAACCCAGAAAAACCGAATGCTTGCCTTTTTCCACTCATTCCCATCAAGGGTTCTCTGTGTGGAAATGAAAGGAATATTGGAAAAAAAGGTTGGAAAACCACTAGGAAAGAGCCAGGTTGAATACCATTTTGTGGGATGCCACAAGGAAGAAAATTATTCTAAGGGTATGGGGGTGCCCTGCACTCCTCAAAAGCCAGAGGGGGCAACTGCCAGAACCACCCAAGTCGCCCAGAAGCTGGAAAAAACGTCAAAAACCTATAAAAAACCGAACGCTTGCCCTTTCCCATTACTTTTCACCTCTTGGGAGTGAAATAAAGGGAATTTGACAGAAATGCATTCTCCAAAAACGAAAGTGGGCAGCCACACCCGACTAGCCCAGACGCTGCAAAAACCATGAAAAACCTAGCACTTGTTGATCTCCACAAGCCATTGAGAATTTCTTGGAGGGAGATGGAGAGTGCAACATGGGAGAAATAGGGGGAAGTATGGGAGATTGGGAAATATGTAGGAAAGAACCAGTGATGAAGATGATGGATGAACACCATTTTGCAGGAATTCCCAAGGGGAGAAGGCAATATAGGTGTTTTTTTGATCAAATGGAAATTTATATATATTTTTCCAAACCCTAACTATTCCAGGGTATGTTGAGGGGTTGGATCATGGTTAACATATTTCATCAAGCACATCCGCAGATCTATCCCTTAGGACCCTTAGGATTTTTTCAACTAAGATTAATTCAAAGTAATACTCAATCATATTCCAGAACCTGTTTGATACCGCATAATTGTTTAAGGGATGGAATATCCAAAAAAATAGTTCGAACTGATTTCATCTAATTTTTTTCCATCACGCTGCACGTAATTTTACCGGAGTCTGACCCCACTGAAATAACTTTCCCATTGAACATTATTTTGGCGCAGGCTTGACACTATCTTATCCCCTCTTGGAAATGGCAAACATTCAAAATAATAGAAAAAATCATAGTATGTGACCCCTACCCCAAAACAACTATAATTACTTAAGGCAGCAGTGATGTTTACATGTCAGATCGTCCGTACGCACGCACGTACGCACGTACGCACGTACGTACGCACGCACGTATGCACGTACACTCCGCACGTACGCTCGTACAGGGTTTCGGTCGTTCAGTCAGGCCAATTTAAAATATGTATTCGAGCTTTCGGTCGTACAAAAATAGTGCCTCATTTAGTGCCTCATGAGGCACTAAATGAGGCACTATTTTTGTACGACCGAAAAGTGTACGACCGAACGTACGACCGAACGACCGAACGTACGACCGAACGTACGACCGAACGACCAAAAGCGTACGACCGAACGACCAAAAGCGTACGACCGAGCGACCGCAATACGTAGGACCGAACGGACATGTGAATGTGCGGACGTACGACCAACTAAAAACACACATAGAGTGTTTTTTATTCGGAAAAACCTGTTGTGAGCGATTTTTTTCAAATTTTTGGTTGGACATTCAATGAAGAAACTCACACTCACAACAACAGTTCGTTCTGAATGTAGGCTATCCTATCTCTTCACAAAAGCATGTGTCTGGCACCTCAACGCTCTGGTCTGTCTCACTTCGACCCAAGTTAACCCTGATTAGTTTAATCCAGACCACTAAAAAAAAGAAAACTCAAAAAAACACAACCAATCTGCTGGACTAGTTGCCAAATATTTGTTTCTTTTTGTTTTCTCGAGGTTTTGGTCTGATTCAGATGAATTTGGATTAACCCTGATTAATCCAGTTCATACGTCATGACTCCTGCTAGTCTGGGTTTCTTGTCCCCCAAATTAGCAAAATCAGATGCTCAGAGACTTGGGCATGGGTTGAGGGTAATTTTGTATTTCATCTATTCTCGTCTAGTTTTCTGAAGAATGTGGCACTTGTCAAAACAAATGCCGAAAAGAATGAAACAAAATAAAGCAGACGAAGAGCAGTTGGGACATGGGTTCGGCATTCTTACATAATATCCTCCAAGATGCGTCATAACCCCAAATCATATTTTTCAAAGAATGTGATATTCCGTAAAGAAAGTGTGGCCCGATTTCCTGCATTCCCTTTGAAAGATTGCATAGTTTCATAAAAAGTGGGGCCTTCTGCCAACAGATTCCAACACCGTTTC